TTTTTCTTTTAAATTCTAATTTCACTTTCACTGCTAATAAAATCTTGATTAACTAAAAATAAATATGCTCCGTGGTCAAATTTTTCATCGAACTAAATTTGCTAATTAGTCAGCATAAATATGATCAATATATTTCAAAATAAGCATATTAATTCATTATGTAAGATTTTCAGAGCAAATCCTTCCTATTTATTTTTTTTACTGTAAAAATGCACAATTTTGAAAAACTCTTTCATTTTTAGGCGAAAATATAGCAATACTTCCAATTCATTTTTTTTTTCGGACAAAATAACTTGATTTCAATTTTTGTTTACCAGTAATTTAGGTGCCAATTATTTTCAATCCACACAGATGGTTTGCTCTGTGCTTTGGGATCATCCATAAATTTTTATGTAAATTTTAAATTTTCCCTCGCAGAGCTGAAATTAAAGTTCTGAGAGGGAAAACTTTTAATCTTTTTTGTTTTGTTAGTGAAACTTAGCGTAGTGAAAATTAGCGAAATTTTTATTAGTGAAATTTGCAAAACTGCAAAAACCGCTAAACTTTGTGTCTTTTTAAAGCAGTTTTTGGCTGTTTTAGTACAACCAAAAACTTTTAAACACACTTTTAAAAGTGTGTTTAAAAGTGCTTTTAAAAGTGTTTATTTTATCCAATATATAAAAACAAAAACAAAATTACTTTGGGTCGGTAAATTTTTAATTGCTATTGCAAAGTATTAATGTTAGAAAGTAACTAAAAATAAACGTTGAAATTTTTAATGTTTGTTTTTAAAGTTGTTTCAACCAAATCTCAACGTAGAAATAACGTTATGTGCTTGCTGGGATAGAAGATTGTATACCAGCAAGCACATAACGATCTGCAGCAGCTACAAGTTCTGCCTATGGTACTTGTTCAGGAAGTTTTTTATATCAGGTGGCTAGCTTCGCTGCACTAAAAAGATGTCGGTGGCGGAAGCCAAATTAAAGATGTGTTGTTGGTATTTTCAATATGAGGTCATTCCTTTTTCCGTGTGATCGCCTATTTGAAATGTTTATCACAAGGTATAGCTAGCAAGTCAAATAAAAGACACCTAAAAAGTATCTTTATATTTTCAAGATGCATGCTAATGATGATTTTTTTATGTAAGAACTGGGAATCGCACGATTTCAAACAACTGCAGCAACAACACACAAACCGCTTGCTGGACTGGAAGAACTAAAGAAAATTGCGTTATTACTGCAAGTGTAGAGAAAGCTTATAGTACAAGTAAAAAGAATAATCATTCACTGTAGAAAGTTTATAAGGTAGTAGTAAAGTTTATGATGCATTATTCACTCTAAAGTTTAAAAACATTTTAGAAAAAACAAGAGAAATGAGATAGGTCTATAGTTAGATAATTTTGAATTACCACTATCTTAAATATTGAAACCACTCGTCAGAAATCCCTCCACTTTTAAGTGATATATTACGAACTAAAGTATTCCAAATTTTATCCGACACAAAGTCCAAGTATGATTTAAAATTTATATTGTGAATTTACTCTATTTGCTATATTTTTCGCTAAAAAAAATTATTCAATATTTTTTTACTCATTAGTTGTCTTACTTTCGTCATCAGTATATAAACTTACTACCATTACCTTTCTTTTCAATTTTAATCACATCCTTTATGATATGCCAGACTTTTTATTATTTCCGATATTCTTTTGCAATAAGCTAAAGCTTGTGTTTTTTAGTTTTTTAAACAGGCTTTAGTATCTTTTGTATATTTTTTCGTTTTTATAAGTTTTATTTTCAAAGAGAGTTTTTATCAAGAAGATTTACCAAAACTTTTTGAACACAGCAGAAACACAGCACAGCAGATTTTGTTAAGTTTTCAGATTGATTTTGATACCTGTGTACTGAAACGCTTTATTGTACGCATAAAAAACTCATTTTTTAAAAATTTTATACACTTTATTTGCATCTTTACAATTAGGGAGTTGTTTTTGCTTTAAGTAAAAAATGTCCGTTAACTTTTTGTTTTTTTCCTTTTTTTTTGAAAAATCATATATAAAACAAGATAAGAAAACTGGTCACTTATATCACTTTTTATGATTCCACTTTGAATGTTGCATGTTTTTAAATAATTAGTATAAATATTATCAATAAGAGATTTAATTTGATGAGTGACGTGAGTTGGCTTGTTGATTAAGTGAAATATTGTTCTATTCAAAAAGATTACTACGTAAACGTTCAAAATCAACTGTCTGTTTTGAAATTAAAATTTTACTTTTAAATTTCTAAGCAAAGATTAATTATTTTTAAATATTTTAGTTTTTTAATACCATATAATCAGTTTTTGGAAGAAATTTTCAAAGTTGTTTCTTTTTTTATAAATGATTATTAATTTTTTATGAATTTGGTTCTTTATATTTAATTTAAACTTTAGGGAATAAAAGAAAAACGAGAGAGCACGCATTAATTAAAGAAAATCTACTAAACTTAGCCTAAAGTTATCTTTAAAAATTGTGTTTAGTTTTTCCCGAAGTATCTGTTTTTATCACGCGGCTTTTAATCTGCGATTAAAAGCCACATGAGCAGTTATCTCTTGAAAACATTTTTTATGTAACTGATGCTGACTTATGCTAATTTTTTCTGCGTTATAAATAAAATTAAGGAATAATAAATATTCATTTTTATAACCCAATTGCATTTTAAAAACATAATGTGTAGAGATAATGTAACTTATTCGGGAATACTTAAATTTTTTATACATTTATCTTCGCCCGAGTACATTACATTATCTCTAAACATTACGTCATTTAATTGCAGTAAACGTATGAAAATTCGAAATGAAAAAACATTTAAGTCTTTTGATTAACTCCACCTTTTGAAAAATCTTAAATTTAAGCGTCAGCGTGTTTAATTTAGTCATAGCTTTTTCTTTTTTTTTAATAAAATTCCCAAATAATAAAATTAAGTTCATTAAACTACAATTTTTTTTATATCACAACGAAATCTCAAAAATCCATCTATATTATTTTATGGCTTTTCTCCGCTTTTATTTTTATGGAGTTAATCAAAGAGAGGCTCATATGTAGTTCTAACATCTACATAACTTTTGATATATATAAGCAACCGTTTTAAAAGAGCTAGTACTAGGCTGCAAATTTTGCGTCTCTTGCTTTGCGTCTCCGTTGCTTTGTTCTGCTTAATTGCTTTTTTATAAAGTTATTCATTTGCAAATTGGGAACGATAAATTATCCCAGCAAACACAAAACATTCAACGAACGTTGCAAACGTTAAAAAACGTTCTATGAACGTTCATAGAACGTGCTCGAACGTTCGCAGCGTTTTTTGAACGTTCTTCAAACGTTTTGTGTTTGCTGGGATACTATATAGTGTCCCAGCAAACACATTGGGATACTATATAGTATACTATATGGTATCCCAGCAAACACAAAACGTTCGAAGAACGTTGCGAACGTTTGAGCACGTTCTATGAACGTTTAAAAAACGTTCGCAACGTTCGTTGAACGTTCTTAAACGTTTTGTGTTATCTGAGATAATTTGCTTTTCTATTATACAGATTTTTTTTTTCAAATGAAGGTCTGCAATATATTTATATAAAGGTATAGTGATTCATTAAAGTTATATAATATAGATCCCCCTCTGGGTTCAAATGTTTTGAAATAATAATAAGAAATAATTACTGATATCAGATATCAAAATACCAGAATTTTCTATTCAAATTAAAGACTCTGTTTTTAAACTATTTTTAGTTTTAAAACTAAAAAAACTTTAAAACTCAATAAATAAAGATATACATTATTTTTGTATTGTAATTATTTTCCTAATTTTTTTTTATGAGCTTTTTAATATTTATATTTTTGTTAATGTTTTTTTTCTAGGATTGCGTTTTGCAAGAACACGTTTTTGTAAGAACATTGTGTTTTACAAGAACAAGTTTATTATGCCAACTAAATAACAGATAATACTGCTGTTCACAAAATGAATAAAAAAAAAAACAATGACTCTTATGTTTACAGGAAAAGTTTCATAACGAAAATATTGTGTTAATTAGATATACATAATTTAATAGCCTAAAATAAAATGAAACAATATTGAAAAAATTTATGACAGTTTTTACTCTATTATCAATCAAGGCTGTACGGGCAAGCAGCCAATAACAGTGTAACGAAAAATGCAAAAACAAAAAAAACAAAAAAAACAAATTTTTCTCCAAGTATTGATAAATATTTTATTTGATTTATATATATATATATATATATATATATATATATATATATATATATATATATATATATATATATGTATATATATATATATATATATATACAAATATATATATACAAATATATATACATATATATATATATAAAAGGAGGATTTACGTGTCTCGTACTGGTTTTCATTATATTTTTATGTTTAAAAGATAAAAATATTTTATAAAGGGGTAATATATATATATATATATATATATATATATATATATATATATATATATATATATATATATATATATATAAATATATTATATATATATATATATATATATATATATATATATATATATATATATATATATATATATATATATATATATATATATATATATATATATATATATATATATATATATATATATATATATTACCCCTTTATAAAATATTTTTATTTTTTAAACATAAAAATATAATGAAAACCAGTACGAGACACGTAAATCCTCCTTTTATCCTGATACAATAATAGTGTACATAATTGATTTAATAAATAACAATATTGTGAAGAATGTTAAAAATTTTAAATGCTAATGTTTAACTTCTGGTTTCGAATTAATATTTATTACCTAGTTATTATTATATATAATTATTATTATTAAATGCTAGACGTAAATACATATACGTTGCATTTACATCTAGCATGTAAGTACAACGTAAATTAATTATAATTAGTTCCGTTTTATCACAAAAGAAAATCTATTTTGGTAGGTTTAAAAAGACTATAAAATCAAAATTATTTTAGTGACTTTTAAAAAAAACAATCTTTTTTAAGAACTTGTAACTATTAATCTAATTATAACGAATGATGAAATTTAAAATGCTCGCAACTTCTTTCTTCATCATGGGAACTATTTTTCAAAAATTTGTTTTCAGCGCTGATTCAAGCTCAATGGCGTTCTGTACTGGAGCAGGTTTAAATTGTTCGAGCTATTGCCCTCAATGTTTTCCAGGTGGATGGTGTGTTCAAGACGAAAATGGTTTAAATACTGGAAAATGCTTATGCAATTACGGCTGGACTGGGCCGCTTGGTAGCTACATTAAAGACACAGCTAATCTGGAATGGGGTAAAAACAGAGTTACAGCTTCAAATTGTGCAACTCCCTGTCATTACACATATGCTGTAAGGTAATGCACTTATAATCTAACTTAATCTTTATCATATAAAGTAATACATAATGATAACAGTTAAAAGAACTTTTTTACATTTTAACTAAATGGTATATAGAATGGTATATAAATGCTTTATAGAAACCAAACATGTGCTACAGATTCTCCATCTTCAACGTGTAATCCAGCTGTATGTGAAAGCAACCAACGTGGAAAATGCGTCAATGGTGTTTGTCAGTGTTGCAAAGGATGGTCAGGGGAAAATGCAGTATATCAAAATGATCATTACAACACTGATGGAGTTCTATTTAAATGTGATAAACCATGTCCTTACTTAGGTCCTGGAATAGAGTAAGCTCTTTTTAAAAATTTTTTGTTAGTCTAATTTATTGAATGTAATAAAGTTAAGTAATTAAATAAATACGTTTCAAATTTGTGAATTTTATAAAATTGTTTAGAAATCCAAGTTGCAAACCGGCATCTCTCCCTTCACCATGCAACTCTAAATGTGTACTAAATGATGGAAAATGCAATGAGAAAACTGGTCGGTGCTTGTGTTGTGAGGGTTGGACTGGAGAAAACGCTCAATTTGAAGACGACGGTGGAATATCTGTTGCTGGCTTCTGTAACGTGTATTGCCCATACGTCAAAACAATGGACTTAAGTCAACGGTAAGTGGTTTTATTGATTTATATAATAATTTTTTATCAATTTTAGAACATGTTATGATATTCAGTTTAACTTTTATAGAAACTTGTTATGCGTTAATCCAGATTACATCAAACGCTCCACAATTTAAATTATAAGTGTATTTTGCTTATTTTAAGTATTATTTTTATTTGTTGGTATAAATAAGTGTATTAACTTTATTTGTAAGTAATTTTAATTATATAGTAATAAAATATTTTTAAGTATTTAGTGTAATTAATTTGATTTTAAAAGCAATTTGATAAGACCCTATGGACTTCTTAGAGCACCTAATTAACTGAAAAAATGTTATTGAGTCAGTATGACCAAGGTTTCAATCAATGATCTGATCTTTAAGCTATGCCAAAACTTAAATTAAAATAATGAAAGTTTCTAAAGAAATAGTTATTAACTCTGAATGACAAATAATTATAAATATTTCTTTTTCTAATTTTGTTTAATACAAAATGATTAAGTTAAATTTCCTATTTGCTCATATGACGTATGATAAGTAGTCTACGTCATATGAGCAAATAGGAGCATATGACGTATAAATCTTGCGTAATTTTATATTATGTAACATAAAATAAAATTACAAGACCTAACAGTCTTGTCACCGTGGAAGTGCTTCTTAACCAGGAAGTTCACGCCTCCTTCCTTACCGTAACGCGAAAATATGTCTCGTTTCGAACCTGGATTTTATACTTTTTAAGCAAGCGCTCTAACTACTGCGCTAGAAAGACCTGACGCAAAATAAAATACCAAGTCTGAAGATCTTGTTTAAACATAATACGCGGACAGAATTATGCAAAATAAAAATTTAAAAGGTCAATTAATTTATAAATCACCTTAAAAACTATATAAACTAATGAACGCGCCGTCTCAAGAATATTTGCGGTAGTGGTGTAGTGGTAAAATACTCGCTTCATAAGCGAGAGGTTCCAAGTTCGATCCCCACCACGTCCCTGGTAGTACCGCGCTCAACTTGTTTCTCCGCGCAGCGGCCTTGTTTGTCAAGGTTCGTGTTTCGGAGTTATAGAGTTGAGAGAGGGTTATAACCACTATTAAGTAGCCTCCTCGTCTGTAGTGACCTTCTCGGCCTTGAGGAGGTAAATAACATAAAAAAAAAAAAAAAAAAAATTTAAAACTATATAAACTAATGAACACACCGTCTCAAGAATATTAAAAACTATATAAACTAATGGGCGCGCCGTCTCAAAAATATTTAAAGCAATCATCTCTTTGCACGTGACGTCACGTTTGGCTGATTCCACTAATCTCAAAATACAAATGGATAGTTGATTCTATTGTTTTTCAAATAAAAAGTTGAAACTGACCTCCCATAAGTTCGGTAATCTCCCAACGGTGAAACCGATATACATTTTAAATTGCTTTGCCAAAATACGAAAAAAAATAATTAAATAAGGTTATAAATATGTAAAAAAAAAATAGAAAAAGCAAAATGAATTTTTTCAAAATTTTGCAAAAGTTTAGTTATTGTTTTAATTGAATATATTATTAAATAACATTAGTGAAATTAAAAATTTTAATTAAGTTTTATGCATAATTTATATGCATTTTAGTTCTTAGTTTCCCAATATTATATGCTAAGTTAGTTACCCAATACTGTATGCTAAAAAGTTAATAACATAATAGCATAGTAAGCGGTGATGATATCTACCTATAATTTATATTCTTTATTTTTTGTTACAAGATACCACTTTGTACAAATGTTCCTTCATAATATTCTACATTAATGTTGTTAATACATAAATTGTTTATAAAATAAATATTCAGAAGTGTCACGTATATTGGTTAAAAAAATCCAGTTCTCAATAAAAGTTAAAAATCAGGTCTCGATTGAAGTTAAAAATCAGGTATCAATTAAAGTTAATTAAAACAACTTTTAAAACAATTAAAATGTAAATATTCGTCTCTTAAAATTACTTTAAGCCTCTAAAATTTGAAGAATAATCACTCACCATTGAAGATATAAATATCTGTAAAAGTGCATTTTCGTAAAAAAATCAATTTTTACATACATTTCTTTATCACAAAAATGTATTTTTACATAATTAAAAAGTACAAAAAAACATAATTAAATAGTACAGAAAAAGAATCGCCGCCCCTCAAATCTATAGTCAAGTCTTTAAAGAAAGTCGTTCAAAGCCTGAAAATTAAAAGTTTAATTTCATCTCATAGTAAAGAAATGCCTACGATAACATTTTCAGGAGCTCTAGAAACTATAAAAAGAGTTTTAAAAAATAAAAAATAAACATTGTATCAGAAATAAATTTCCTAACCAAATGCATTCTTTGGCAATTACTATGCAATTTTGCTTTAAGTTTAGAAAGATTAAGCATTAAGTTCGAAAGATTTTTCAGTGGACAGTCCCACATTAATTTTAAATAAAACATTGGTACATTAAGTTCGAAAGATTTTTCAGTGGACAGTCCCACATTAATTTCAAATAAAACATTGGTACATTAAGTTCGAAAGATTTTTCAGTGGACAGTCCCACATTAATTTCAAATAAAACATTGGTACATTAAGTTCGAAAGATTTTTCAGTGGACAGTCCCACATTAATTTCAAATAAAACATTGGTACATTAAGTTTGAAAGATTTTTCAGTGGACAGTACCACATTAATTTCAAATAAAACATTGGTACATTAATGTACCATCTGAACCTGGACTAAAACTATTTTTATTGTACTTCAAGCTGCAATAAAAAAAACTGTGCTTTAAAAAAACTGGTCGTCACTGTATGTGTCTTAGAAAAACTGGTCGTGACACTTTGTGTTTTTTTATGTAATAAATAAGTAGGTAGAACGGAATGGAAAAAAAATTGTCAATCTTTGAAGTTAAAATAAGCACATAAAAATTTTTGACAGCAAACAATGAAAGTAAATTTAGCAGCCTAATTATTCAGTTCAAGGGTTTTTGTTGCTATAATTTATTGTTCAGAAAATCTTAAATTATCACAGTTTCAAGGATGTAGTGCTACCGTTTGTTCACATAATTGATTGATTAAATGACATATTAAATTCAATAAAATTATTTACAAAAGGATTCAAGTTGCATGCATATAACAAAGCTATTTTGTTTCCATTTCTTAACATGGCATATAGTTATATCAGTAGTCTTAAAAATATTACTGGTAACTGATCTTGCCTTTGATCAAATTGGTTTTATTTGATTGTTGGTAACAACTAAATCTGTTCAAGATATATTTCTTGTCTTAATAAAAAAAAAAATTTTACCATTAAATTATTTATTAACAAATAAGTTTAGTCAAGACCATTAAGAGCTCTTTTTTGGTGCTGTGAGAATTGCCAGATGGTTCAACAACAGTTCCAAATGCCAACATTTCATAGCCACAGACATATAAACGACTTTTTGATGCAAATTAGCGTTCCTTGTTTAAATGGAAACTGCAGCATCAGAGTAAAAACTTAAAAATTAAGTACTTTTTACTTTGCTAACTAAAATATAAGCACTAAAACATCTATGATTCCATCACTAAAATATCTATGATTCCACCACTAAAATATCTATGATTCCAGCAAAAAAATTCTATGATTCCAGCACTAAAATATCTATGATTCCAGCACTAAAATATTGAATGAGTGAAGTTGAATGAATAAGAAAATATGATTTGTTGGAGAGAGAATAAACAATTAGTAATCATGGTTATGCAGATGTTCCAAATTTTAGTAATCTGTTTGAATACAAAAAGGCTTCGATTTCATACATTGCTGGATACGTAGCTAATACGACTTCAAAAAAATTATTTGCTTTAAATTTTAGAATGCATTAGTACTCTCTTTTTATTTAGAACAAAACAGCTTTTTAAAATTTAAAGACAGAGGAAGTTTTATTAAACCAACCAAAGTGTTGTTATCATATACGAAGAAACTAAAAAATGTTTCCAAAGATTGATTTCCGAATTTTTTCATCAAACATTTAAAAACAGAAATATGAATATTATTCAAATATTTGATCTCTACTAGTTCTATTATCTTCTCTTCATTTAAATTATCTGTTTGCTCAAATATCTTAAATTCTGTTTCACACAAATAAATCACATCAGCTGATTTATGATTGGCTGGTCTTAATATGCTTTTAACAAGCAAGTAATATCAACAACATAAATTTAATATGCATGATCATTAGCTAAAAACAATTAATAATTTGTGCAAATATGACCACTCGATAAAAATTTTCCTAGCATCATTGATTGTTGGTTTACTTGCAATTTGTATTAGCTGAAACATGTGTTGAGGATCAAATAAAATGTATATAGGATAACTTGATATAGGATGAGTAAATCAAGTCTTTATATTTTCAATAAAACTGTCGAATCCTAAAAAACTTGCCACACTAAAATTTAAAGCAGTTTTATCAAAAGTGAGCGATGTAATTTCAATACCATTATCATCAATAAATTTTAAACAGCGTTCAACAATATTAGCTTTTTTACAACCACCTAAACCACAAATGCAAAAATATGCAAGAGAAAGTTTTCAATGTTTATTAACACTGGTCACCATAAGAACTAAGGTTTCATTTGCTAAGCTATCATTATTATTATCAGCACAAAACTAATAAAACCAGATATCTTATGGTCTTTCCATTTAATTTTTCTACCAACCATTTCATCTAATGGACACACAACAAGCCGATCAGTTTCCTTGGCTTCTTTTTCTGTGCTTTGAAGAGCAGTTAAAGTTTCTTTACTAAATTCAGGGAAGCAGTCAATACTCTCATACCATTTTCAAATAGTTCGAGAATAAGTGAAGATGCATTATTAAATGTTTTTATAGAACCAGTAAAATTACTGGCAAGAACTATAGTCTTGCTATTCATCCAGATAGTTACACAGTTGCTATTATCATAAACAAATTTCATAGTACATCTGGTTATTCCCTTTATTGCCTGCTTCTAAGTACGTACCGGTACACCTACAAGCCTGTTCTGTTGTAGTGTACCTAAGGTCAAGTGTTTTAAACATTCTAGATAAAATCTAATTATTTCACAACATACCTAACGTAATTCAATTTACTAACCTAAAACCATTTCAAATTACTGACCTAAACCCATGTTCAAATTACTGACATACAACCTATGATCAAGAAAATCAAAAGATGTAAAAAGATTATCACAGGCTACTTTGGTCTTTAATCCATACTACTCAGAAAAATTCAAAACATCATTGGTATCCTGT